TGTTACTACTAGCGATGCACTTGTTACTGCCGTAGAGGGAGGTAGTACGCTTAGGAACTGAACGCCGGATAGTGCACGCTTCTTCAAGGAAGCTCCTTTAGGGCGGCGGGGGCAGGAAACTCAACTTTACACCAGCACACACCCCAGTCGAAGTCAGAAGGGAAATGGAGCAGAAAGGGCCAGAAATGTTGGCAAAACCTGAAAACGTAAACACATCACCAAACAAAATCAACACAAAGTGTTAGCCAAACTGCCTAAAAACCATCAAAATCTCGTCAGTTGCGCCACCAGACACTAAAAGCGAACACGTGTCCTCAGTCATGCCACCCAATAATCTTCGAAGTTACCGTCTCACCACCCAAGATCATAGTTTTGTAGCCGTTTTAGGCTTTCTTCTAAATGGACTTTAATATTTCGACATGCAAACCAATGTTTGTGGTGCCACTTCTGCACAATAGTAAAGAAAGTCTTAACAAGAAAAGCTTACATTCCCCTGCAAAGAAGGGAACATGATGAAGAAAAATCTACAGTAAGAGATTCAGTCTACTCAAACAAATCTGAGATCTAAGCGAAGCTCACCTTTCATCATTACCTGGCAGCATTATGTTGAAGTGGAAGCAATAACACGGTATGCACCTTTGACTCCGCGAACTGTATGTACCTCATTTGGTGACGTGTGATACTTGCTTAAAACACTTATCTCACCTTCTCACTTGCAAGCAAAATATACCTGATCTTGTTTAGATCGGTGACCCACCTACTCATGAAGCTGCATAGGTGTCAATCAGATCAGACTGCTTAAGTTAGAGAACTGATTGGTTTCCAAAGAAATCCTACGAACCATTCCATACAGAACTACTACAACCCTACCTCTGCTTTTGATGGAGAATTCATTGCAGGTTTCTTCCAAAGGCCCCACCTTCGTCTCCAGAGCTACAGAAAGGGTTCCAAGAACCTCTGACTCCTTGGTGCCTTGCGTCAGCATCGTCAGTTTTTAATTCAAGGTCACTTTGTCAAAGGCAAACTTACCTCAACGGAAGTCAATGCGCTGAAATCCAAATTACCTGCTCTAGTCTGCCGCATTTGCACCTTGAAGCTCTGGATGAAATTCCATCCACGGAGAGCACCTGAATCGAAAGTGGGACTCGACCCCACAAAACCAAGTACAGGCTGTTCGTCACTCGTGAGGGATAAGGCACTTCTATCTGAGATTGATGTCAGAGACGTTTACTGGCAAGTACATTTAAAAAACATGAAAATAATACCAAAATACATATATACATATATTATATATATAAGTACACCATTGAGTCTAGAGACTAAAATGGGAATCCAGCTTTCATGCTGGCTATGCAAAAAGAATAGCGACGTACCAAAGGCGGACACAGTGATCTCTGCCCATGGTTCTTCTATTCCAACCTGTCATCAGACTGATAATGCCAGTCAAACACCAAATCCAAATTGACATCACTCTTAGCTTGATGATGCTGCAGGGAGAGCGACCCCGAGAGGTTAAGCACCTTTGCAGCTGTTGGTTGCTTCTAGGTTGGAGGCCATCGCTCTATGAAGTGCTGGTTTTGCGTGGAAATCCGCATTGCTTGGAGTACGCTGCTGGTAGAAATAGATACTGTCACACCTTCCCATCCAGATACGCACATCCCGACAAGGTGCTGCTTCGATACAAAATAGCACATCTTGGCTACGTTTCTGTGCATCAAGCTGATGGTGCAGTACTTTGACATATTCTACTTTTCTGACATATGACTTTGACTTGTGGTAGGGTAGAGGTCGGAGCAAAGCAAACAAGATGGAACCCACCCAAGGTATAGGAGAAGAAAACATTGTTACAAATACAAGAGAAATGTGGTGACGTCTGGTGTCAAGTGAAAAGTGTGTGATCTCTACAATTTGCTTTTTGTTTTGCAAGTGCGCTGTGCCAGCATGAGAAGCGCAACAAAAACCGCAAATAGACAGGATCACAGAACCACAATGCTTTACCTGGCGCGCATTTCGCTAATTTTAGAAGAGCGGAAGGTTCTGCTATTGGGACAGTTAACTTGAAAGCCCAACATGGGTTGTGCTACTCAGCATTGCCGGTTGTGGGAAGAGTGTAGTAGCAAGAAGCTATTAGGTTGGAGGCCATTACTACTAGCAAATAGCTACTTGGGCTCATGAGCATTGTTTTGGCCACCCGATGGCGATCGAGAATCGAGCTAGCAGCTAGCAGGGCTAATACCCTCAAGCTGAGAGCTTCTAACAAAAACGAAAGCAAAAGCTACCAGAAGGAAAGATTCAAATCCAAACAAACTCCCTGATCATACGTTCATTCTTGCGGATGCACTTCAGAAAATGTTTACGTTCAGGTTGCGAGGTCAAGTTATCCACCCCCCCTCAAGATCCAAAACAACAGGAAAGCAAAGGACGGACCAAAGGACTCCTAAAGTCCTAAAGGACAGAACTGACCAAGAAGGGACCAAGGACCACCAGCGGATTGGGTGAGTCGTTGCCGTTGAGATCACCACGTTCATTCGGTTCTCCCCCTAGCCTTGCATTTGACACAGGCGTACTCCGACTGCAGAGTAAAGAAACAATAAGTCAACCACTTTGTTTGTGGCTCCCACGAATAACGCCTGGCGTTTCATCTTATCGGCTCACTTAGGCGATGAATCCGGCAAGTGGCGGACGGCAAAGAATACCCACGAAAGTGGCTCTTGCCACCTTCATGAGAACCAACGGTGACGGTGACCTGTCTCCGCTCTTTGGGATGAAGAGGTGGCGACTTGTTTGTCTTTCTGAAGCTGCGGAACGGCCTGAAGATGAGAGGAGCATGCGCCCGCAGTGTGCACAGAGTTCCACAACGCTCTTCCATTTGTTTCACAAACTTATCCGTGCTTGAAGCCTCACAGAGCCCACTGCGCAAAAAGAACAAACAACAAAGAATTGAGGCCAAGACGTAAAGCCTTTGTACACAAAAATGTCTACAGAAAGAAATAAACGATAGGAAGGTCTGAGACTCAAGGAGAAAATTAACCGTTTCTGGTTGCAATCAGCAAAGGCCGCAACCTAAAGTTTTCAGGTCCTAGAACCTATGACCTGAAGAGGCCCATGAGGGTACCAAGTAGCATGTTGCTTCGTTAAAACATCAAGACATGTTGCAAATAAGGGGATGCCAAACCGTTTTTGGCCAACCGACAAGCGGGGGTTTCTCTACAAGACTTCTGCCCTCATGCGAAACGAAGAGCTTCCTTAGAAGAGCTTCTTGCCCTGAGGGTAGCCCTCGCATGCCCTGACCATAAGCCATTCTTAATGGAAAGCTTCAAGGATGAAGTGCACTTGGAAGTTGAAGGAATCTTCGACCTCTTTGTACAGGATATATCGGATAGTTGTTGTCGCAGGCTTTCCATTTTTGTCCGTGGCCGTTTTGTCTCTTGGAACTCCAACTGACCAAGGTCTGGTACATGAACTTCAGCTTTAGCGAGGGTTCGACCTGGACGAAAGGGAAAACGTGAATGAAGTCGTTTAATTAGAATTCAATTTAATTCTAACAGCTTCTTGTTACTACTAGTAAGGCACTTGTTACTAGTATCAATTTCAAGTAGGCCATTTTCCTTTTTCTTCAATGTTTGAATCCAGCTGAAATCAGCCTAGAAGGCCTGTCTGGATCAGTCGCAGCCTGCATTGCGGTTGCAACGTTGCAAAGGTGGCGTAAACGCTTTGCACAGCTCAAACTCGCTTTAAATCGAGTTGTGCAACGAAATTCTTCCAACTTGTTCCCGAAGGGCATGTGCCAGCCTAATCCGATTGGAAGTATTGCGTTGACCCAGAAAAAGACACGTTGTACCTTGGCTTTGCGTGATCGGCCAATGCAAGTAAAGCTATAAAATGCTTAAATACTTGCCATCCGGCAGTTGTAATGGGTTGGCACTCTGCAAGTCAACCATATTCTTCCAAACCAATCAACTACTTGTTGCACAAAAAATGACACATGTCCACCACGCGAAGCTGCAGTTGCCAAACGCATCTCTACAGAGTGTATGCACAAGCAGCAAAATCTAGGGGTGCTGTTGCACAAGAACCCGCTCCTACGGACGTCTGCCTGGATGGCACCAAAAGGCGAGGAGAAGTATGGCAAACAAGGAGAAAAGAGGATAGACACAAGGACATGTCCTGCTCGGGACTTGGTGAAGGACACCTTAAAAGTGAGCATCCATGAGTGCAGAGAAGAAAAGGTGTCTTGGCCAAGCCTGTCAAGCCAGGACTTGCGATGGCACCCAGCTCATTTAGGAAGAAATGGATCATTTGGGCGACAAGAAATGCAAAACCAAAGGCCAGAGAAAAGGTGAACGCAAGCTAGGGTCTTCTTTGGAGTCATCAATGTCTTACACTTGGGCGGTTCCATTTTCGCAGTAAGTAGCCAAAGTCATGACAAGGTCATTTGGTCATAACATGTAGGCCTACATCAACTTCAGAGATATGATGGGAAATACAGAATCACTTGCATCTAAAGAGTTCTCAAACAGTAAGACAAACAAATGTCTTTTCAGAAATCTGCTTCTCCTTTTCCTTTCTCTTTTGCACAAGAGAGTGAGGGAGAGAGAGAGAGAGAGGGGGAGGAAAAAAGAACCACAACAAAATAAACGGAAGTAGGAACCTGAGAAGGGAGGGGACGAAAGCCAGCCTCTGTAATAATCTACTGTTGTTAGAAGGTGAAGTCGAAATTGCACTTCCTTCTACTGCTGTTAGCCACGGGAAAAAACGCAGAGAGACGCAGAGTTTCACAGTGAGCCTCGCTCGATAAAGCCTATTTGCACAAGGCCTTGATCAACTCCCATCCACTGTTCACAGGCTAGAATTGGATCCTACACTTTTCTACAAAAGTCCAAGGTCCAACTCCCGGAAGACGACAGTTCTGGGGGGTGCCCTCTTTCTTTTGGTTAAAGGCCCTTTTCACAGTCAAAAAACACCTCAAGCAATTCACAATTTTTTACCTGCATTTGTTTCCCTCCCTGTCTGTTGCAGTCATTTTTTGGGGACAAAAAGAAATTGTAAAGATGAAGCCTGCAAATGTCCTGCTGAGTTGCGGAACGCTGTCCCTACGAGAGTTTAGAACTTAGAGGTTTTTGCTTGCACAGAATCTCGCCACGTCTGTCCTCTAACTGGATGGACACACCTAGTCAGTTCATCTCAGTGTAGGGTGCCCTTGTTTGTTGCGTGTCGATCTTTTTTGGGGCCTGCCCGCAATCTCTTCTCTTTCGTTTTCGACCTGCATTTATAGACCTGGTCAGCTCATTAGTTCACCTTCGTGTGGGGCACCCTTGTTTGTTGCATTTTTTGGGGGTGGAAAAAAGGGCATCCCGGGCATCCCGTATTGATAGTTGTCAAAACGAAGCTTGCAAATATTATGCATTTTCCTTTGTCCTGTTTTCTACTCGGTCTCACATACCTGGTTGGCAGACCATGCATGTCAAGTGCCATGTCAGCAGCGGTGGATATGTTTGGTAATGAACTGAATAGCCTTTGGCATATTTGACGAAGCTTAGGTGTATTTGAGACCATCCGAGTCGAAATTATTGATAGAAAATAACAAAAGTCCGAACGGTGGCCCAACAAAAGAAAAGCTAGTAACAGGTGCATCAGTAGTAACAAGTGCCTTACTAGTAGTAACAATGTATGCTAGTAGAAACAAGTGCCTTACTACTAGCAACAAAGAGAATTTAATTAGAAAAGCTAGCACGACATCATCAGACGTCTCCAGAAGTCGTGACGCTTTCATGACATCCTGGACAACCCTAGTTGTAACCACGTAGCTCACAAGTGTTGAGAACTTACGCGCTGAGTCTAGTTCCACCTCCCCTCTCCTGTCCTCTCCCTGAACTCACACACCTGGTCTTGTTTGGTGCATTTTGTGTCACGCAGTCTTCCCTCTCTTCACCCTGATCAATAGACAATTTCAATAGTCTCCTGACCACTTCATGATGCTAATGATGCACTAGTCACTATTCAGCGTCATTGGCATAACTCGCTCACCAAGACCTCCTAAAACATACATTCACTACCTTTTGCACCATCGCACCCTTGTGCTCTCCCCCACCAGGCTCTGAGTTCACCCTACCCGCCGGGATCCGCCCCTGCAACCACCCCCCGACACCCCCTATTACTCACTTCGTCGCCCATTGAGGACTCAGCCATGCCTATCGGCTGGCTGTCGTGATAATGTTCACTCCTGCTGTACCTATGGCCTTGGAAAATGGACAAGTCAAAGCAGCAACAACAACAACAACAACAACCACAACCACAACCACCACCACGACCACAACCGCAACCGCAACCAGAACCACAACCACCACCACGACCACAACCGCAACCAGAACCACAACCACAACAACCACCACGACCACAACCACGACCACAACCGCAACCAGAACCACAACCACAACAACCACAACGACCACCACGACCACAACCACAACCACAACAACGACCACAACCACAACCACAACGACCACAACGACCACCACAACGACCACCACAACGATCACCACAATGACCACCACAACGACCACAACGGCCACAACGACCACGACCCCGACAACAACAACAAAAAAAAGGAAATAACCAAAAACAACATTGTTGGTTTTCTTTTCTTCAAAGTTGCTCTTGATTGAACCAAGAACATTTGTTGAATGCAACAAGTGTTCCACTTCCTGGACGAACCTGTTTGGAAATAACACATTTGCAAGTGAAGCAACATAAGACGCCATAGATCTTCACCCCGAAGCAATGTCGCATCAAACTCAAAGGCAGGAAAGCATTCTTAAAGACCATAAACTAAGCGTTACTGGAAACCAAGACTTGAAAACCCTTCAGGAGCCTTGCAAGCGTTCTAGTACTAATAATTTCCTGGAAGCTGACCTGAAGTTTTTAGGGCGCCCAGTAAAGAGTCCAGGCGAAGACCTCCAACCTTCCAGCTCACAAGGTCCATTGTTACATCGAAGAATGTAAGCCAGGTGGAAACCAAGAAGGACCCAGAAGTCACGAAGCCAACAGGACCCCTCGCCAAACAAAATAAAACTTTGATAGACAAATCATAAACTCATAGCGTTTCTCCTCAAAAGCGTTCTTTTTGTCATGACATCCCAAACTTGAGGCCAGTGAAAGACCGATGGTTTTTCGTGTTTTTCCCTGCCGTTCACGCATGGCATCACAGATGCCGGAGAGAAAACTACACAACGGTTCGCAAATGTTTCAAAAAAGAAACTTTGACAGAAAATAATCCAAGGAGGCTTCCAAAGCTGGCATTGAGGTCGTTCTGGTGGTCCAGTCTGGGAACAAACCTGGAAGGCCGTGAGCCGTCTCTCGAAGTCGCAATTTCCAATCTGAAAATTGAGAAAGAAAACAAAGCATTGGAAGAATAAAGGATGTTAGAAACAACCAAAACTACAACTACAAACACCAGCACCAGCAGTCTGTTTGTTTCCACCTCTGATATTGGTTGTCTCATACTATTCCTAGCAATGCCTGTCGCTACCACCACGGCATCCTTCACTGGCAAGTAATTTGAATCTTCGAATCGTCCCCACACTCTCGACACACTGTGGTTCCCCGATCAGCTACACGCGAAGTCCCTGGTGGAAGACTAGTTTCCGATACGGAAGACTAACTTGCGATAAGCACTTGAAACTCTGGTGATGACTTCTTGATTGTGACAGACACTTCGGACAACTGAACACATCTTTGCTCACACCACTCCTCACTCGCTCGTGATGCTGTTTAGGACAGTGGACAGTGCAGGGTGCGCGATGGAATGACCGAACGCAAACCTAATTGGCCAACTTAATCTCAGGCACTCAACGCTTGGGGGCCTGCTTTCGTCGCTGCGTGTTGTTCTCAGCGTGTTACTGCGAAGAGCTGCAGGCTCGTTACTCTCCAGCTGTGAAAACAACTCGGAGAAGCCGAAGTCGAAAACGCCATGGAAGGCAGGGCTCTGCATGGGCCTCTGAGAGGTGTTACAGACGAACGCAATCACGAAGGACAAGGCTCGAGACTGAATTGAAACTTGCCAAAGCATCCGACCAACACTAAAGTTTGAGCTAAAAAGAATATGTGGCACTTTAGTTCTGCAGCGGCCACTGCATTTGGCCTGTGCCTCTGTGCCTTCGGAGTCCATCAACCCTTGATACGTGACACTGCTTCTTCAAAAGGATGCTCCTCTTAAAGTTGGGAAGCTTCTCGATATGCACAACTTTTGCACACCCAAACGCATTTAACATTGACTTTGACTTTGCCCATCTCTTTTCAGAGTTGCTCAAAAGCAGTGTTATTTTAGTCCTGTATGCTTCCTTACTTTTTGTGCTTCGTTTCAGAACTTTTTCTTGCTTTTGAAATTGGAGCTGGCCAAGTATATTCTATATTGTGGTCATATTTGATTAACTTCTCAAGCCTCGCTCTCTTTTCTCCAAGCTCAATGGAGGTTGTACACAGGTGCTGTCGTCTTTACAGACAGCTCC